GCAGTATTAACAAGCAGCAAACAATGCTAAATAAGAAGTATAAGTAATTATCAGTATCAGTAAGACTGATGGCAAATACGAAAATGTGAGAAATGTAAGAATATATGCTATATTCCTTGTGTGTGTAACATGCTTGGCCAAATAAAGGTGATTATCCTTATCCTGTGATTATAATCCTTTACTGTTGGTGTCTTAATTCAGTTGGTATAATTAGATTGTATTGACCTAGACTGGAAAAATTCCACTAAGAATCAGGTGAATAAGAAACATTACTTTTGTTTTTTCTCTCATCACATCAGTGACCTGTTCCTTCCTTTGTCCCTTCAGAGCTGCCACAGCAACATGTCTGTAAGGAGGAGGAGGTTCTGGCTGACCAGCAGATCTGGAACCAGGAGAGGAACTCCATTCTGGACCAAGAGGACCAAGAGCCTCCACAGATTAAAGAGAAACAGGAGGAACTTTGCAGCAGTCAGGAGGGAGAGCAGCTTGGACTGAAGCAGGAGACCAATCACTTTATGTTGACTCCTACTTATGAGAAAAAGGACCACAGTGAAGCAGAACCAACCAGTGACCAGCAGCTCCTCTGTCACAGCTCTGCTGTAGCTGAGAGCCAGGATCAGGAAGGAAGCCAGCATGGAGACTCAGGATCAGCTAGTAATGCAGAGCCAAAGCCAACGAGGAGACGTCACAAAGACACAAGTCACAGTAGCAGTGTGGACACCTCTCCCCTGTCAGAGACTCAGTGTAATCCTCCCACAGACAGAAAGTCTTTAAAGTGTGGCACTTGTGGAAAAACGTTTAGGTACAAGTCTATTTTTTATAAACATCTTAGAAGCCACACAACGGAGAATCAGTATTGTTGTGAAACGTGTAAGAAAAATTTCAGATATAACAGTGACTTTTTGGTTCACATGAGAGCCCACACGGGTGAGAGGCCGTATGTTTGCAAGACCTGTGGGAAAGGATTCACGCAGTCATCAGTTTTGAAGGTTCATTTGCGAACCCACACAGGGGAAAAGCCGTATTCTTGTAAAACATGTGGGAAGAGATTCAGAACAAACAGTGCCTTTTTGATCCACATGAGAACCCACACAGGGGAGAAGCCATATGTTTGCAAGACATGTGGAAAAGGATTCATTGCATCATCAGATTTGAAGATTCATTTACGAACCCACACAGGGGAGAAGCCGTATCCTTGTAAAACATGTGGGAAGAATTTCACAACCAGCAGTTGGTTATTGGTCCACATGAGAACCCACACAGGTGAGAAGCCATATTCTTGTAAAACATGTGGAAAAGGTTTCACGAGATCATCAAAATTGAATGAGCATGTTAGAACCCACACAGATCAGAAGCCATACATTTGCACTACATGTGGGAAAAGTTTCACATGTAACATTTCATTAGTGATCCATATAAGAATTCACACGGGGGAGAAGCCATATGTTTGCAAGACCTGTGGGAAAGGATTCATTGCATCATCAGGTTTGAATAAACATTCAAAAACCCACACAGGTGAGAGGCCATATGTTTGCAAGACGTGTGGGAAAGCATTCAAGAACTCATCAAACTTTACGGTTCATTTAAGAACCCACACAGGAGAGAAGCCATATTCTTGTAAAAATTGTGGGAAAACGTTTGCAACAAAGAGTAGCTTGTCGATTCATGTGAGAATCCACACAGGGGAGAGGCCGTATGTTTGCAACACCTGTGGGACAGGATTCAGGCAGTCATCACATTTGAATGCTCACTTAATCGTCCACACTGCTGCAGCACCTGTGCAAAAAGATGCTACACCACAACGCACTTGAAAAAACACATAAGAGTTCATTCGGGTTAAACGTCATCTTCTAACAAAATGTCGGGGTATTTGTTAGAAATTAATAAAGCAGTCAGATAATTATTAGACTTTCATGTGTTAGCAATGCAGTTTAGTAAGATTCAAAGTCTGCTCTTGTTTGCTCTGTTTCAAGGTTAGCAGTAAGCCGTGACACCGATTGTTTTCTTGTTTTAATCTTGTGTAAGAATTATGTCTGAATGAATGTTTTAGTTACACATGACGCATGGAATTCTTCATTTTGTTATGTCCAGCTGTTCCAAGCATGTGGAGCTCTAGATAAGAGATGGAGTCTGCTGGACAGACTTCATCTGTGTAAGGAGTTAGCCCAAAACTGATAAATGTATTAGGCTCTGTGTTTCCGGGTGCTTTTTTCCCCTGCTCTCTTCTCCAGCAGCTTGTCTAAAGAAGGGAGCCCTGGGTTGTGTTCTGTAATCCTTTTATATATATATTTTTGTAAATAAACCAGCACTAAAATCAAGAAAGACGGACTCCTTCCTTACTCAGATCTGTCGAGTAAAAGAACTGGACAGTACACAGCAGGCAAACAGATACTGGGGGGAAGAAGGCAAAACACGGTGGTCAACAGGCAGATTAAATAAAAGGGCCAAAACTGAGGTGAAACAAAACAGGAAGTAATGTGAAAATAAAAGCACGACAGGAAGCAAGCGGGGCAGGAGCGTGACAAAGACAATACCAGTATCTTGATCAAGAGATCACACACTCAGTGCAACGAGTCATTGAGCGACAAAGGAGAGAAGTTACAGTCAGGTTTTGCATAACATTGGTCAGCTATCACTGCATTAGCTGGAACCAATCAGAAATGTGTCTTAGGTATGTGGCCTTCATAGGTATCTTCTAGATAAGCAGCTTGGGCCAGACAGTTGGGCTGTGTAGGTAAGAGGCTATGTGTGTGTCAATAGAGACTGGGTCTGTGTGTATGAAGTGTGTATGGTTGTTTTTGTGGAGACTAAATCTATGTGAAGTGTCTGGGAGACAGAACTGTTTGGGAGAACTCTCTGAGAGAAAAAGATATCAAGGTTATACAGCACAAATACAGAGACAATATGAACATTGAGCATAATGAGCAAATGTATGAATTTCACCGTTCCACTATATTAGCAAATAAATATAGCGGTGTAAAAAGTATACTGTTTGCTTCTAAAATGTTGTGAAGAGGTGGAACAGTGGTGCGGTGGTTAGCACTGTTGCAAAAGTTCCAGGTTCAAGCCTGGGCTAACCTGGTGCCTTTTTATGTGGAGTTTGCATGTTCTCCCTGTGCCTGCGTGAGTTCTCTCCAGGTACTCCAGCTTCCTCCCACACTCCAAAGACATGCAGCTTTGGTTGACTGGCAACTCTTATCTAGAAAGAATAAATCAAATCAAATCAAAATCAAATCAAACTCTAAATTGCCCATAGGAGTGAGTATGAGTGTGTGGTTGTTTGTCTACATTTCAGCCCTGTGATAGACTGGCTCTGACTAAAAAACACAGCAGCCATTACACTCTGGGTCTCTATTGTCTTTTATTGTTTAGATTTAGTATAAACCAAGATTCCGTTACAACAAAAAGGGGCACTTCTTGACTGGATGTACTACCTCATGGTCAAATCAGAAATGCTGTAATATGTTTCAAAAGGCATTTATTTCATTGCACAGAGTAAATCTGAGGGCACAACAACTAAAGTTTATCGAAAAGAAGGGTGGCTATATTGGTCACTGAGGTTTTCTGTTTGGAATTTCAGAACTGTTTATTTGTAAATTATGAGTTTGTTTATTATTCTCACTTTAACAGGTGAAAATAAATAAGTGAGATGGGAAAATCTTTGTTTTTTATTTAGTTGCATGATTAGTTGCAGTTGTACAGATTCCAAGATGGCCGCACACATGTTGTCGTCGTTGTAGTGTGTCGCTGCTTGTTGTTTCGTTTGAATTTTTGTTTAAATCTTCTGCTGTGACCTTTATTGAGTGTCAGGTTGGCTGCTTTGAATTTGTTCTCTATAGTTTGGGTATGCGAGCTCACTTGGACAAAGAAGAAGACAATCAATTGCAGACAACCTGGCTGGATGTTTTCGCGGTTTCCTGTGTGGTGCTGTGAGTTTGACCAGATTGAGGTCTTCCTTGTCGTACAACTGTTCCACATTATACTTTGGTGGGCCGTGACTAGCAGAGGGCGAGCTCAGCGTAAGGGAAACTGTTGATTAAGTTATTGCTAGTCGCAATTAGCAGCGGCAAGGGGGCTGTTGGCTGTGGACCAGAGAAGCCGGGGGCTTGTGTCGGAATAGTCGACTATTTAGCTGACTTGTTGATCGACGTGGGATTGTGTCAACGAGTGGTCTATTGGCTGCGGGCGGAGGAGCTGCGACGGAGGGAAGCTGGGATCTCTATAACATTGGAGAAGGCCACCTAAAGGAGATTTGTGGTGGTGATCGGCGGCCGGCCTTGTCGTGGCTGACTGTTGGTGGAAGAGAGAACGTGAAATCTACTACGAGGCTGAGGAGCTGAGTCATCGAGATTTGTTAAAATGAAGTATTTCTGGTGTTTTTTTATTTTTTGTCATTTGATTTGGTTCCCTGGAATTGTTGTTCAAAACGATGATGATTCATGTGATGTGGTACTTAGCTTGCCTTTTGATTATTTTAGTGCATGGTCTTGTACTTGTGACCCATTTCCTCCTGGTTGGGCTCCAGTGCTGGACTACTGTTAACTGATTTCGGGGCACCATTACAGGTATGTGCCAAAAAATTA